AATGCTAAATATTTTTTTAATGGTCAAAAAAAAAAAAAAAACTTAAAAAAAGCATTGAAAACAAATGATATTGTAAAACAAATTAATGTAAGGGATTGAATAGCTGTTGACCCTATTGGGTATAGCTTTACATGGACATAGGAAAACTAGGACCTTTTTAAAACGAATTAAGACCTCCAACACAACATTTTAGTGGATTTAAGACTTTTTAACGCCTAAAGTTTCGATTTTAAAATTTAAGATATTTTAAGACTCTTTAAGTTTTATGTTAAACACTGTGGTTTTTATTTCTTACATGGTTTATTTAAGTTTATATTATTATGATATTTTGTTTCTATTTTTTTTATATATTTTATTGTAGTTTTATATGTGTCCTCCTATTTCAAGCTTTGACAATATTGTATTACATACAGACAGTCATGCCAATAAAGCAATATTGAATTGAATTGAGAAAGACAAAGATAGACCCTGTCCCTGTTTCTCCAGTAAATTATTACTAAACGTACCTTTATAATTTGTACAGCAACCAGGTTTATGTCAAATCACCCTAGTAAATTGACATTTAGAACAATTAAACATAAATAAGTGTGTTTACTAAATATTTTAGTTGAATAATTAAAAAAGCAAGCATATTGTACACTGTAAAAATAATTAGTTACTTCACTTGTTCCTTGTAATCTGGAACTGAAAATTCCTTGTAATATGGAACTGTTATATTGACTTGAATGAATCTTTTTAAGCAGGTAAATAGTTCATTTACGTAATAATTTTCAAATAATGAGCTCATTCACTTTTTTACTAGAGCAATCAAGTAAAGTCTCTTTCTACGGTGTATAGCATAATTATTTTATTCTAATTATTCTTATGAAATTGACCTAAACACAGACACAATGTTTTGAAAATTAATGTTAATTACGGTATACAGTTTTAAGATTTTAACACACACTTAATGATGAAGATAACACAGGTTATGTGCATGGTTTCCGCTACATTAATTCTTTCATTGCGGGGTGCCAGACCACAATACATTCCCGCCACGGCTACATAACAGCTTCTCATTTAAACCTTCAGCTGTTGCTGTTTTTATTCATTTTTTTTTTAATAGTGGGTCATAATCGCACCAAGACATATTAAAATGTAAGTGAATTATAATAGAGCAAACTTTTTTGTTATCATAGTAGTGCTGTGCGTTATTTTTTTAACCCTTTAAGATTACATGGTGACTGACTGACAAGGCTGCGTGATGCATGAGGCCAGCAAACACGACGTAGCTTTCAGTTATGATGAACAGTTTTCATTATTATTCTTTATTTATAGATAAAGGTCTATGCTTCTGCATTCAATGACTTTATCTAGCAGGAGTTTATGGCTGTCTCACTTTACTTTCTGTAGGTCTATTGTTGGTCTATAGAAGACATTTAAAAAACTTCCTAAAAAATGTATTAAATGTCGGAGATTAACTCGTTACATAAATGCACTTCAGCAGTGTTTATTTAAGAGAGCACAAGAAAATTTGTGCTTGAGCAGCATATATTTAACGGCATGCAAGAAGTTTTGTGCACGAACAGAGGAAATCGGTGTGCAAGCAAAAAGACTGCAAGCAAAAGAGAACGCATGCTCGTATTTTGACTTGTAATACTGCTCTCACATTTGCCATTGAAATAACACCATAGGTAGTTGGAAGATCTGTGTAAAAGGCCTGCCACCACAGGTGAAAAAAAATCATAGCGGTAACACTGACATGAAAATATACTGAACACGCTTAAGTGTCTATATTTAGCACATACTGGCACTTAAAGATATTTCCCTTTCTAATGACATATGGATGTGATGGATGCTTTTTCCTCAAGTAAATGTAACATTACTATTTTCTATTTATTTATTTATTTTATTTATTTATTTATCTATTTATTTATGTATTTATTTAAACAACATAAAACGTAAAAGCCAACACTTATTATTGGGTGGCAGGTGTACAAATATTTTGTAAAGTTTAGTTCAGGCATCGTCCGAAAGTTTTTGACTTGTTCTTTAGTCCACTGAGTCAATTCCCCTGTGGGCTATTTGCATGACACACACAGTTCTAGTCTATGCAGGCTGTTCCGAATCAGTCACTTATGAAGTTTCAGTTCAGTTACAGAAAGCATAATCATTAGACAGAAGGGCAGTTCCCCTTGGTTTTGGATGAGAGCCACTGAATTCCTGGTGCAGAATAATGCAGCACACATACTACAACAGAACAAAAGAAAGAGATGAACATCAGAACATGCTGATGTTTTATGTAGAGATAGAAATACACCTCCAAATACAATATCAATATCAGGTGATAAGTAAAACGTGAGCAGAATCTGAGAAAGCAGCATTTCAGATATACTGTACACCATATTGAAAATGGGAAAACCAGGGATCATGCCAACAGGTGCTGCAAAGCATAATAAATGACTTACAGAACACTTTGCCCTTCCTTGTTCCTGCTACTCAGTGTTATTGAAGCGGGACCTCCATATGTAAAACTAGTGGTTTACATAATGCGTACGTGACTTACAACAGTCTGGAAGTGTAATGGCAAGCTAAATATGTACAACATATTTTCTAATGTATTTTGTGGTTGGAACTTGTGCTGGCAGGAAAGCTCAAAGGAAAAGCACGTGCTCACACCTGAAAAAACAGATTTGTGTCTGTGTGATGTCACAATGTTCCTCTATAAAATGGCCCCCTGTGTCTTTTGATAGATAATAAATAATTAACAGGCCTTAATAATAATCATTAAACAAAAAGATGACATACAGTTGAAAAAAAAATGAATAGCTCTCCTCTCAAATTTGTATTTTTTCAAAAAACATTTTAATAACTAATTTCTTTTGTCTTTACCATGCCATACTAAACATAATATTTTACTAGTTACAGTATTTTGCAAAATACCAGTATTCAACTTAACTTAACTTAACTTAAGGGCACCTATTTTACCCCTTTTTCAAGATTTATGAGATAATACAGAATGTGTCCGTAATGTTTCAGCTCAAAATACCCATCAGATTATTTATTCTAGCTTTCAGAATATTGGATTTTCTGCTCTGAGCACAATGTAGCTGTTTTTGCTGCTGTGCCTTTAATGCTAGTTCTCCTCGCCCACCGTTCCAATCTGCTGATGCCTCAATCTCAGCCTCAGCTGCATCAGATAAACAGCACAGAGACAGACATGAAGGAAGCAGATATCACTAAACGCTTCTGGGAATTACGATATAAGGAGTTTTTTTTTGGTGATGAGCAATTTTACCATCTTTATTACAAACATGCACCATTTTAAACTTGTAAAACTCATTCTTGATCACGTTTGATGATGATTCATGATCACAGAGAGCTAAACAGATCTTTTAATCTTTTGGTATGAAGACATGTTAATACGTAGCTGTCAATCAATTCAGTGGGCGGAGAAAACGCACTCCTACATCACGGGCCTCAAAATGGCCAGGATTTGGATCTTATTTTATTGTCAGGAAGTTTTAAAAAAAAGAGTCTTTATATCACTCCAATATGACTGTAAATACACTCTGCTTACAGACAGCTCTGTCCAAACAGCTTACAAAAGAGGATTTTCATCATAGGTGCCCTTTAAAGGATTAACTAGACAAATTCTGTTAATTAGTCAGTGGATAAGCCAGTGATTCTGTAGCCAATAGAAAACTACATTTCTTAAGAGTGCTAATAATTATGACCATAATATATATATAGAAAAAGAAAGAGGACTTTCTTCAGAAGAAAACGTATAATACTAATAAATACATTGAAAATACCCTTGCTTTGTTTAAAATCATTTGTCAAATATCCTAAAAAAAGAATGCAAACTACACAGGAGGGCAAATCATTTTGACTTTAACTGAAAATTCAGTAAGATCTTTCTTTAACAAAACAACGCAACCAAGCCATGCAAAGAGTAATTCTGAAGTCCTGTCGTCTGAATATTGATTAGCATTTTGCCTGCCGGATTGTGGCTGAATTTCAAGCTCTGTCGGGAAAACATCCACATGCAGCTTTAAACCCAGTCCAACAGGGTGTGCGTGGAATGTTCTCAAACAACACTGAGACATTTCTTGCTTTGTGCGATGCATGAAGCGGAAATTAAATAGACGGCAATTTGTATGCAACCTTTTCTACTCTCCTCCACAAACCTGAAAAATCACACCATCGACAACTTACTACAATAAAGGGCTTTTTAAAGAAACATTTTTGGTGGCCTAACTACTAAAACGCATGCAGTTTCCCCCCTTAAAGCTGTGACACATGCTGCACCATGGATGAAAACAAAGCCGGCTTTCATTGCTTCCTGTATACAGCCAGGAAAGCAGTACACTTAAAACACAGCACACAGAGGACTTGCTCAGGGTGAAAATTTGACTCGCATTAGTCACAGTATATGTGTCTGCTGCCAGAATCCATCTTCAGAACTTTCCTCTAATTACTCCAGACAGTGTTTACAATGCAAAAGCTTTTTTTCTTTTTCCCATTCGAATGATTTCTGACAAATCAGCTGACAGTATTTTGGCCATCCCCCGGCCCAGTGAGGACAGGAGGTGATTTAGGCACCCCTTAGCCGGTTACGCTGCACTGACTAACGGCAGACAAGTCTAGCCTCTGCCTCACTTTGGCAAAACGCCTAATGGCTCGCTCCATCAGCTCATTACCCTGTCGGATAAAAGGCTTTATTTGCGGAGAGAGGCGAACGGACGGGGCAAATAATGAGACAGGAAGTGATCCTAGTTGCTTATAAAGAGGCAGGGTCTCTTCTTGCTTAAACACCTGAAGGAAGCGACAAGCACATATTTCACAGGTTTAGGCTCACAGGTTTCACACATATGTGGTAGCCTGTGCCAACTGCTTCTCCCTTCCAGGTCGTCTGAATGGAGCCACATAAAAGGTGCAACCCAAGAGAGAGCGCTGTGAAAGTTCCCCGAAGACTCCAAACCCAAACACAACCAGCGTGTGTGGAGGAAGTAAATTACCTGATGCCTTTGATCTGTGCGATGCTGTTGTGGGAGATTCTGGACAGCGCAGAGATCACCTGTAGGAACAAGAGAAGCTCTGGGTTAATCAGGAAACTTCAGTTAATATTAACTACATCTAAATCACTACTTTTTTAAAGTCCTTCAAGTCTTTAGGGAAAAATGGCATAAATCAAACACCCTGCATACAGCTCTGAGTAGATCAAATGTGCTCTTATAAACCATAAGTTATCTTGAGGACAGGTCTAAACATATTAACTATTCATTCTGGTGTGCATTAGTGTACGTGCTGCCTATTAGAATGGTTACTGTGTATGAGGTCTTCAATAATAATTCAGTATTTTTTCTCAAGAAAGAAAAGTTCATTAAAGCAACTGGCTGCAAACTTTCAGTTACCTAAAAGCACTCTCAGATACTGGAGGAACGTTTTCTTGACTTCATAATGTGTGTTGTTCTTCCCTTTTATAATTTTATATTTGCTTCTGTGTTTTGAAGTAATATTTAAGGCACAGATACACATTAAGCAACAGAAAAAGTAAAAATAAATAAATAAATAAAATTTTAAAAATGCACAAATAAAGGACTAAAGACATTAGAAAGCTAATTTGCCTTCATTTTTCAGCATATACGGTAGGACAGACCAGGGCATTTTATGGCCCACAGGCCACATGCGGCCCTCTGAACTTCTTAAAGGGATGCACATGCGCTATGTCACATTTTTTTGTTTTTCAGGTGTCCAAAAAAAATAAAGAAATGAAACCATTTCAGAAATGCAGCAAGCAAACCACTAGTCATGTGATAAAACCAACCAGGCAGCTACACACTCTGTATAAAATTACAAAGTAATAAAGGTAAACTAATTACATATCCACCTCACATTTAACCTGACTTCAGTATTTCGAACAAATGAACGAACGAAGGAGGAAGGAAGGAATAAATAAATAAAAATGAACTAAGAAAAAGCAAACAAAACAACCCTATGACATTTATTTGAAGTTGATATTGTGATGCTGGACTTTAAAATTCTTGTAGTGTAAAATTTAAAAAAAAATTTTTTTTGAATGTTTGAATTGAATAGTATCACAGAAATTATTTATTTATTTTTATTTATTTATTTATTTTTTTACAAACAAACTATTGGTTTGGCCCTCTAAAACCGCCTCAGAGTCTAATGTGACCCATTGGAAAAAATAATTGCTGTAAGAGGTCTTTTGTACCATTAAAGGAAAAACTTAAAATGACCTCATTACAAATTAAGCAATTATTAATTTGACCTTCAAAAAAATGTTGTTGGAAAAAATCTTTATTGCTATAAAGCTTTTACAATGTAGATTGTGAAACGGTGTCAGTGCAGTTTTCAGCGTTTATTCTGATCATGATGTGATGTGATGTCACTTGTACTACGGTAGTTTTTTTTTGCATATGAACATCTCCAGCGAGAGAGACCAGCCTATAGTGATCACAGCTGTGTGATTGTATGCATCAAAAGTTGAACCCAAAATTGATCTTTTGATTTGGATGGAAAAAGGTCATAATTTACACATTTTTAACGTTTTTTTATCAAAAGAAAAGTGATATTCATCAAAAATGGTTTTTGTTTTACAAACTCAGAACTAAGGTCCCTAAAGACTCCTACCCCTAGTGATTTCATGAAGAATATGCACACACAAAGCAGCAATTGAGTATTTTTCATGTTTCAAGTTCCTAAACATTTTACACTTAGAGGTTGTCAAAAAGAAATAAAGAAAAACTGATTCAGATAATAAACATTTGCAGCAGAACAGAGTGTCCTGTGTTTTCTGCTGTGTTTTATGATAGGCTTTGCAGGCACAGCTTGTGTGCACACACGGATAACACTATCCCACTAATGACAACATTAAGGGACATGTGGCATGAAACGCCCCAATGAAATCACAGACGTGAAGTGCTTTGCACAGATCTGAGGACCCCTCCTCTACCCAGCTGCATTAGTGCTGGGTAACAGGGTTAAACGCACGCAGTATTTACACTGATTTAATGCCAGCCATGAGTTACATGTGAGTAGGCTTATTGGTGGCCCTTCTAGAGGCTTCCAGATGGTGCGCTAGAGGGTCTCGAATGTGGAATGCAGAAGCCTCACACACACAGGGACGCACAGACCCACACAAACAAACAGGAAAGCACATGTGCATATCCAAAGTGAAGATGGTGGCGTGTCGCCTCATTACATGCTCATAGGCGTGTTTTCACTTGCTTTTCCTGCTGCCATGGTGACGCTCTCTGTTCTTCAGTCAGAGCAAAACACTGAGTGCAGATGTGTGTGCAGTTTCTAGGTTCTCAATATAGGTGGTAGGTAATGTTAGAAAAAAATATATACAGCATCTAAAATACCGATAAATCACCAACCAGTTCCAGAAGCCACACTATTTTAGTATCACTACTGTGTTTATTATGTGTAATTAAGGATGTAACTATTCACCATGAGCCGGTTGAAAATTTATTCAAATGTGACGATTCAAGCTGGTAGAAATGTTAATGTTAATCACGATACATGTTTCGATTAGGGGGGGTACTTTGTTTACAGGCACAAACTTGCTCTACTTGCACATCTGTGGTGAGCAAGAGGTGGAGCGGCAGAGTAAAATGATAGATGTAAAGTGCGCCAGATAAACACAAACTGTTTGCAAATACTCAAATACTCAAATAATCAGTGCTTTCATGGCGAAAGTGTAAAGATGTTTTTCAGACTAAAAGAGAAACTGCTGTAACAGAAACCGCTATTAGATTATTTTAACCTCTTCTTTTCAAATTAGTTTATGCATATTTTTAATTTTGCTTTTTATTATTGAATATTTAAAAATGGTCTAGATTATCTCTTCTTAAGTGTATCACACTGACACTTATAATAATTAATTATACAAGTAATATTAATTATTTACCTTTATAATCATGTTCAACTCCTGTCTCCATCCTACTATATAATGAATAATTTTATAATCAGTTTTTTTTTATGCCAGTGGCCAGTCCCCTAGAGCAGCTCTGGTTTAGGAAAGGCTTTCCTCTCCACATTAGCCATCTCAATCCCCAGTCAAAGAGTTTTTTTTTCATCAGCAGGGAACATTGTAAATGTGCAAAGACCTCAGTTTATGCCAGAAAACAGAGATATGCTGATATTTCTTTTAAAAAATGTAAAATCCCAGCATAGTCACAGTTTTAGTTTATTTATATTAATGAGTCTTCTTTAGTTTGTATCATTATTATTTCAAGAGTTAACACTAAGCTGATGATTATAAAGTGTGTTTTGGCAGGCTGTCCCGGGAGAAAGCCCTAAGCTCAGAATATCCTCGAGCCCAGGGCTCCCTACCGTTTAAAGGGTGAGGAGGTCTCGAGAACTCCCCTCCTTGTAAACGCGTTAGGAATAGCTGAGAAATATAGCTGGCTAAGAGTTTATCTTATGATGTAATTTTGGGTTAGTTAATTTACTTATATTGTATATCTTTGAATGGTGGAAGGAAACAGGGCAACCCGGGGAAAACCAACGAGCACGGGGAGAACATGAAAACTGACCCAAACCAGTGGCATTCTTGCTGTAAGGCAACAGTGCTAACCACTAGCCCGTGTTGCCACCCTATCAGGAAAAAGGGGAGGAGCAAGGGTGGAAGGGGGATTCTTCAAGATGAAGATGACTGAAGTGGAAAACTGGTTATTTATAGTGAGTTATTATCCAATTGATTGGCGCAATATGTGAAGCTGATGCGGGACTAGCCGTGATCAATCATTAACATGTAATCCTCTCTAATTAGTTTATAAATAAACTACACTTTTTTTGGAATTTGTTGTTTAAAATAGCAATTTGGAAAGTGCATTATTTTGCAAAAAAATGTGCAGCCTTTAAGAAAAAAAAAGGGCTCTTTACCTTAAATTTGTTTCAAATAATTTTGTTGAAAAATTTTGACCAAATCGCAAATTATGAGAGTCAATCGTTACATCCCTATGTGTAATAGAAAAGAATAATAGAAAAAGAATACAATTATATATATGTTTTTGAAGCACATTTATTCCTATTATAACTGAAGCACTATGAAATTATTTAAAACTCCATCTTGAAAGACCAGAGTGCTATGATTGGACACCAGTGATCTGCAAATTGTCAAGATTCCATCAGAAAAATTTTGTTCATTCAATAATCAGGGGTTGCCACAGCAAAATGAACCACCAACTTATCCAGCAAACGTTTTACGCAGCGGATGCCCTTCCAGCCACACTGGGAAACACCCATACACTCTTGCATTCACACACATACTCTATGGCCCATTTAGCTTATTCAATTCACCTATAGCGCATGTCTTTGGACTTGGGGAAATCAGAGCACCTGGAGGAAACCCACGCAAACATGGAGAGCACATGCCAACATCACACAGAAATGCCAACTGACCCAGCCAGGACTCGAACCAGTGACCTTCTTGCTGTGAGGTGATCGAGCTACCCACTGCGCCACCGAGACGCTCGGAAATGTTGTGTTTATTACCATAATTGCATAACAGCAAATTCAGGAGATCCTTCTTCAGCATACAAAAGAACTGAGGCATTATTTCAATAATTTCTGGTGTAATACATAATCCAAAACGTACAATGTAAGATCCCCTAATATGTACACTGAGCCTTGTACGAAATCTCCAGCAGCAAAACTCCACAAACAACTCAGCACATTTCTGCAGAATTGAATTGCCTGTCGTTGACAAAATTATAGAATTTTTCCCAGCCCTCAAGTGTTTTTTTTTTATTAAAGATCACGGCTAATTCGATTATGCTTTCAGCTCTAAACAAAATTTGAAACACTTGCATCTTATTCTCCAAACCCAATTCCCCTAAACAGAGCAGAAAAAGCATCTGGGCTTGTGCAAACATATAAACATCACCACTGATACTCAGGACTGGATTAATGCCATCTGATATTCTAACAGCAGTTTTTCTGGCTTACATAAGGCTGAATCAGTCCAGGCAGAAAAACAGATGATTGAGAGATCAATACAGCTAAATTAGTCTGTGTGTTAAGCAGTTAGGCATTTTGCTCTTGCGT